AGTTTCTGTTTACTGAGAACGCTCTTGGCCCACCTTCAATTTTGAAGTATATTTTTGCTGGACATAAAACTTTGGATTGACAGAGTTTTTTGTTTGTTTGTTTCTCTCTTTTCTTTCACTACTTTTTGTTCCCTGAGCAGTTCAAGCCCGTTTCCCGTCTATCCCTCTCTGCTTCCTGTCCACCCTCCCTGGGAAACCCCTGTACCAGTTCTTCACAGGCTGCCATCCTCTGGCCTCATTTCATACTTTCCAGAGAATTCTCTCGACCACGCTATTTTAAAAAATCACTCTTTGTCCCATTTACCCTCTTTCTAATTATCCTGTTTACTTCCTGTGTGACACTTTCACAACCCTTAATTATGTTCTTAACCACTTGGGTCTGGCGGTCACCGGCCGCCACACCTCGCCCACGGCCGGCGCTCCCAGTCCGCACGACAGTCTGTGCTGGGCACTGACCACGCGTCCGTCTTGCTCTTGCGTGATGAGGAAAGCTCGAAAGCGCTGAAAGCTTGTTTTACTTTACAGGCAGCTTTACTTGTCATGTAAATCAGAACAGGTAACAGGTACATATATGCTCTCATGACGTCATTTTTAAATGTTCACCATTTTATTTTGATAAATGAAAAATTAGAAAAGTCATATCGCGGCTGTCGGCTAGAGTCGACGCCCGGCCGTGCGCGTTCACCTGTGGCCGTCGACTATAGTCGACGCTCGTGCCAGAGTGGTTCAATTTGCTTGCAAGTTTCTTATATCTCTCTTTGATGAGCTCCGTAAGAAAATGTACTCGCCTGTCTTATTCTTGCCTATATTTCTGACGTTCAGCAAAATATCTGACACCGTAATAAAGGCTCAGTGATGGCTCTCTAATGTAGAATAGATGCAGTTGAAGTCACTCACGGGGACATCTAGCTTTGCTGGACTTGAAAAGACACATTGAGTAGTTGCAGACAGCGAGACTCATCAGGACCATCTGTTTTGCAAACATCGTACCAGGAAATAAAAATAGGAAAGTCATGCATCTTCAAGCTTTTCCAGATGCTTTGAGTTAGAAACAATCTTCCCTAGTTCCTCTAACATTTCACTTCGTCCTCACTGCAGTATTTTTAGTGGTCTGCCTTGCAACGGCACTAATTGTATACAGGCCTCCTCTTTCCAATGGGACTGTCAGCCCCGTGCATGCAGGGACTGTGCGTTTTTTCTAGCACATCTCGGGCAATCCTGCAGAAATAACCTTTAGGTCTGCAAAGGTTTTGGAATACTCTCAATATGGTTTTGTGCCGAAAACGAACAAAGATAGCATTTTTGGTTTAATAGTAAGATTCTCTAGTTCTCTAAGGGAAAAAAGAGAGAGACATGTAATTCCAAAGTAATTAGGACTTCAGCTGAGCATTAATAAAAGCACTGAGTTCCTAGGACATGGTGTCATGTGGGGAGGAGGCCTCTCTACCCCTTCTTTGCCTTTGTTCTTGTTTATATGCACTGACTTTCCAGTTTGTCATCCCTGTAGTTTGCATTGCAAGACAGTGCCAAATATTTCCTGCCCACGCCCCTGGCTGCAGAGCATGAGAACTATTATGGAAGGCAACAGATCAGAATAATTTTTAGCTGGAGTTCTTAAAAAATGTCCATTTTAAAACATAAATATTTATGCCCATTGCTAAGCTGACCCCCCCATTTATTATGGGGAGACCTTTGATTAGCCTGTAGTCTGAAGAGGAACTGTATAAGTAGTAGTTACCATTTTTTATGACAAGATCGATGGAGAACTCTGGGGGGGTGAAGCCTGGAGCTGGTTTTCATACTCTGTTTCCAAACATAAAAAGAGGAGGACGGGTCAGCCCTCGGTGAGCATTCAAACAGCTCTCACACCGGCCCGATAACTTACAGCCTCTGATTTCAGGGGACCAGGTAATCTTTCTGAGTCATGCACACCTGTGAAGTGGGAAGACAACATAAGCATAGCTGTTTTTATGGAATCGCTTTTTTTTTTTTTTTTTAATAATAAGATCCAGTATTATTCTGACAAATTCAAGTTCCCAAAAGGAGTGTGATTTTATGGAGGGGTTCTGTTTAAAGTGTGAGTCTATGCTGGGGTTGGGGGTGAGGGTCTAAAACCTCTCGCACGTTCCCAAGCCCCATCTAAAGCTTATAGCATCCCAGAATCTCCGGAAGTTGTTCCTCGGAATCTGCATTTGACCGTGCTCACGGAGCCTGCGTCCCCACGCCGAGGGTCAGGGCAGTGGAGAGTGAACAGTTGTCTGTTGCATCTCCGAACCGGCAGTCTGTGCCTAGAAAGCTGTGGGTCTCTTAGATGGCTTCCTAGGAAGATCCCCACTATTTGTGGTTTCACCGTGGGTTTTCCCCCATCATTAAATTGACTCGTAACTGAGCAATTAGTCAAGTCAGTGCCCAGTTATGTGATGGAGACAAAAACAAGTCCGTTCTCGTGCTGGCCAAGCCAGCTCGCCACGCAAGTAAGGTCCGCACGGGGCCCTCTCTGAGACGCGCTGGGCCTGAGGCCGGCCGCCGTCCAGGCAGCTCGGCGCCCCGTGAGCCCCGCAGGTCTGACGCTCTGCCACAGATGCCAGTAGGACGCGCGGGATCTGCTGTGATCGGACAGTGACTTTCTTCTTGTCCTCCCTTTGCCTGTTGCAGCTGGTCTCCGTGGGTTCTTCTTTCCCGGCCTTTGAATAGAAACGAGGGCACGTTTAACCAGTTTTCGCCTTAAGTAGCAAAGAGTCTTTGCACATTTGTCAAGCACGTAAACAAACCCTCCATTTCCTTAATGGGTTATGTCCAGGACAGAGGAAATTGTAAGTATCTCCCAAACGGATCGCAAGTCCGTTCCCCCTCTACCCGCTCAGGGCCGTGCGAGGCTGACCGCTGGGCACGGGAGAAGCGAGGAGGGGGTCTCTCTCTCTCTCTCTCTTTCTCTGCTGGAGCTTTTGCTTTTCTTCTCTTTCCTCGATGGGTGGCTTCTGGCTGCTGCAGGCCCGAGCGATGCAGGGTGGAAGGTTAGAAAGGCGGGAAGATAAAACTGTGCTTGACGGATAGCACAGAGCTGGCTCGGCGCTGGCTGGCGTGGCAGGGGTTGCCGACTGAGTTTTCTTCTCATGAGGTGCTTCCGTGGAGCTTTTTTAGGGAGTCGCCGTTCCTTAACACGGGCTAAGTGTCTCCTCTCCGGTCGCTTCAGGCACCTGGAGAGCGTCCCCGGACACCTCCAGCGTTTTTCTGCCAACGCGTCATTGCCCTCAACTTCCGGCAGCCACCGTGGGTCGCGTCTAAGACATCGTCAAGCGTCTCCCGTGCGCGGCGCACATGGTCTGCGGGGAATCTCCTCGTGTCTTCTGTTCTGACAAGGTCTGAGAACGCAGGCCACGCCCAATTCTGTCACCTCTCAGCTTTGCCGTCCGTCCGGGGTGGACTGACCGACCACAGTCGCTCGGCCCTGGCTCTTGCGGGCGGTGTCCGAGTCCAGCACGGCTGCTCCCCCAGTGCCGGGACGCCCTCCCAGCCTCCCAGGGGGACCCACTGAGTCCCCTCCCCGGGGCTGGCGCTGAGACGGAGCCCCACACTCGCAAGTGAAGGAGCTCGAGACACCGTCGCGGCTCTCTCTTAAAGCGTCTCTACCTATCCCCCTTTTAGGAAAATAGAGAATGGCCTTGGCTCCTGCAAAGAAAATGCTATGCGTCAATCAGAAGAAAATGCTGCAGATGTTTAGTAGTCCCGGCTTTCCCAGTGGTAAAATGGAATTTTGCAGAAAACTAGTAGCAACAGCGCCCGCTTGCTAAATATAGTAACATTATCCTATTCGCCATAGTTCCCACGACACCCAGTGACGGGCTCGGCCTTGTCTTCAACTCGTAGGTGAGGCCACTGAGGCCGGAAAGCAGTTAGGTGACTTCCTACGTCACAGAACCAGGAGAGATGAGAGCCAGGATCAAAATCGAAGGTTCCAGGTCCTGACTGGCGCTGCCTTCATCTCTGCATTGAGGGCACGTGCTGTTAGTAGAGTTTGTTCCCCCGAGGGTCTCGGATCCCTGGCGGATGTTCAAAGCTATTTAACGGAAGCTGCTTTCTAACACAAGTTAGCTCTGTGTGACTCAATACTGTAAAACCGTCAATGTTTTTACTAAACTTCTTCAAAGCAAAGAGCATCGTATTCCTCTCAGAATGCCTAGGGCTGGCCAAAGTGGATGTATGTGTGCTAGTACACACTTTGTACATTACACATTTAGTGCACACTTCGTACATGACACATGTAGTACATACTTTGTACATTACACATTTAGTACACACTTCGTACATGACACATGTAGTACACACTTCGTACATTACACATTTACTGCACACTTCGTACATTACACATTTAGTGCACACTTCGTACATTAGTACAAAGTGTACTAATGAATTAATTAAGTGAGCGAACGAGGGAATGGATATATTGCCTTCTACATGCTCTGGTGGAAGGTAAGACTTCATGTGAACCAGACTGGTATATTATCCTTCTCCCCGGTGATTTACATTTTATAAGATGATCCGAGAAAGAGCACATTAAACGAATGAGGCCAAAGGCGAATTTCCAATTCCGCCACTGGAATCGAGGTGAGAAAGGGATTGGGAACAGAGTTTTTCTCTGGCGTCTCAAATTTCTTTTCGGAGAAATGACAGCCAACTGTGTCTGTTTGCTTTAGGGGGAAAGTAGCATGCTTCTTTGTTTGAGTTACACCACGTCCGGAAACATTTCGCCCCCAGCTCGGAGACGGAAGCTGTAATAATTTCAGGCGTGCAGAGATGGGGCAGAGGCTGCTTCTAGCACACCCTACCCACGCTTCTGCTAAGGGCCCGCGCTGCTCTCCGGAAGGAGGGACTGAAGAGTCGTTGGTGGGGTTGACCAGACGTCCTCGCAGACACTGTCCTGGACTTCGGGGAGGTGCTAGGGTTTCAGCCGGGAGGTTGACGGCGGGGTGCAGCTAACAAGGTCCGTCTGTCGTCCACAGGTCTGAGGCGCAACTACAGATGTACCATCTGCAGTGTGTCCCTAAACTCGATAGAGCAGTACCACGCCCACTTGAAAGGATCGAAACACCAGACCAAGTAGGTACCTCTGTGCTCCCACTCTTCAGCGTTTTCCTGTGTGATTCTTAGCAAAATGGCGAGAGGCAAAATATTTTCATTTGCTTCAAACTCAGTAGATGGAAATTATATTTCTCTAGCTTTACAGTTCTCTTGCTATTTATGCTTCCTTGAAGAATGGCTTCCTCTCCCTGTTTTGGCACGGATAATAAGTTTTCTCATTTTCTTGCTCATTTTGTCAAGGACAGTTCAGCACACGTTAGTGAACTTGAGGACACTCTTAGGTCTGTGCTAAGTGTTTTTAAATGAACGACGCTACCCTTATTTGTAGGATGTGCCAGACTTTGGTTCTGTGGAGACAAATTCTACGAACGTCTTATACCGCTTCCCCCTTTTGGGATGAATATTGTCGATTGTTCTGGAAACTTAACGAATGCCCCGGTATATTAAATTATTTATATACATGGCTATTTCCAAATTAAATGAAAACTCACTCCATTTTTTCAAAGACTCTCATAATTTTAAACTAGGAAAGGCTAAGCAGGCATTATTTCACCTATATTTATACCGTGCATCTCTCTCTAAAAACAATTTAGTTTTGTGAGCGTTTTTAAAGCAACTGCTAGAACTGTTAATAAAATGCTAATAAAATAAGAAAAAAAAAACAACAAAAACAAAGAATGTCTCAGAAAGATATAATTTTCCTGAGCGTAATTGTTTCGCCTCTCTAATATTCATTTAGGAGAATCATTTAACAGAGTCAGCTGTATCCAAACCTCATGAATAATGAATAATTCACTCGATAAACATTTATTGAGCGCCCACTGTGTGTCAGGCTCCGAACCGTGCACTGAGAAGGAAAGATCAATAGATCTAGTCCCGCTGCTTTGGGCCCCCTGCCAGGCTGGGGAAATAGCCATGGAAACTCACAGATTGTTCTAGCACCCTGCACGCACTCAAAGCTGGAAGCACATTCGGAGAGCAGCACAGCGTGAGCTTCACGGGGACGTTGGTGCAGAAGTTGGGCATGTGATCGTGAGGTCGCAGTCTGATTTTGCTCGGCATTATATTGCTGGTGCCTGGCTTGGCATTTGATGCATTTTAGGTGCTTTATAAACATTTCCGACTGAATGAATGTGTGATCTCGCAAGGCGAGTAACAGTTTTTCAGGCGGGCATATGAGAAGGAGCACTGCACTGCAGGTGAGGAAATTGTTTTGCAAAGATGGCTTGAAGACGTAGGGCACAGGGAGTCTGGCTCAGGGGAGGAAATTCAAACCCAGAGTTGTTTCCTGACTCTTGGTTTTCCCCTCGATACGGTGCTGTTGTGGGAGGCGAAGTCGGTTTCATTGCTTCCTTCACTCGGATCCCCCCGGAGGACTCTTATCAGGGCAATTTTTCAAAAAGAAGATTTTTCTCTGTTTTGTTATGGAATGCCTAGTGCGCTCATATTGATGATCAGATACTGCATCCCCAGTGATATGTTTTCATTATCTCTCTAATGAGCGTGTTGTAAGAGGCACCATATACATTCTAATTAACCCGCATCTGATGTGCAGACATGCAAATACCTGCAGTAACGAAGGGCCCTCTTTGGGGAGCACGCCATTCATTGCTCTTAATAAACAGAAACAAGCAACAGTGACTTTAAATGGCATGAAGTATGGAAACAACTAATGCAGAAATAACGAATAACCAGATTCAGGAAAACGTCTCTCTCTTTTCTGTCTGTACATATAAAAAACTGCACGTGCCATAATCTGTGCTAGGCATTTCACACCTGTCGTCTCATTTAATCCCCTTAACTATCTTTGAGGTAAATATTATGGGTCCATTATCTTGCCTCCGAAAACGAATACTCGGAGCAGCTATGTCACTTACCCCCAATCCCCCTGCCTGCAAACGGCAGAGCCGGCGCTGAACCCCGCAGTACTGGAATCAGGCCGTTACTCAGGGCACGTGGCTCAGTTACCGCGAGATCTGGCTTGGGATGAGCGCCAATAAAGAGTAAGCCACGCTTGGAAAGGGTGGGCACCATGTCCTTGAAGTGATTCAGTAGATGCACATGACTTCAGAAGGGAACATCCACTGTGCTGTCTCCCTTCCTGTCACAAGACTCCGCTCATTTCTAACTCAAAAGCACCAAGTTTCTCTCCTCTGAAGAGGGCACTTAGGGACATATGAAGAAAATAATTACAATAACCCTGTCTCACATGCCTGTTGCATCTGCCCTTATGCATAATTTGAATATCTTGTGCATGCATACCTGCTTGTGAGTGTGTGTGTGTGTGTGTGTGTGTGTGTGTGTGTGTGTGTAAAGTGTTTGTTCAAGTCTTTTGCCTGTTTATAAAAATCAGCTGTTTTCTTGATAGGTTGTAGAAGCGCTTAATTTTTAACGAAGTCCAATTTATCAGTCTGTTCTTTTATGGCTAAAGTTTTTGCTTGCTGTCTAAGAGTCTTCTGCCTTTCGCAAAGTCATTAAGATAATCTCCTATGTTATCTAGAGACTATGTAGAGTTTTTCCCTTACAAATGTGGGTCTTTGATCCATCTGCTATTAATTTTATGTATAATGTGAGGGAAAGGACAAGAGTTAGGATTCTTTTTTCATACAAATACCACGTATTGATCCAGTACCATGTATTGAAAAGATCATTGCAATAGGCCTTTCTGTAAGGTGACTTACAGACATGTGCATGTGTCTGTCTTTGTATTCAGTATTCTGTCTCAGTCCACATGTGTCTTTATGCTAATATCACACCATTTCCTACAGCTTTGTAGTAATTCTTGATATCTGATAGACTACATCTTCTGATTTTGTCTTCTTATTCAAGACTATCTTCATTATTCTTGACCCCTTTGTACATAAATTTTACAATCAGCTTGTCAACTTTCTCAAAAAAGCCTTCACGATATTGAGTCTTCTAATCCGTAATCGTGGTATATACCAGCATTTATTTATGTCTCCCTTAATTCTGTTGGTAATGCTTTGCCGAATTCTTCGTAAGAGGTCTTACACATCTTTGTTTTTAGATTTATTCCTAAGGATTTGTTGTTTGGGGATGCGTGAATAAATGAGATAATATGAAAATTTTATTTTTAAAATTAATTATTAAATTAAGTTAAATAACAATTAAATTTATTATTGCTTTTGACACGTAATCATCCATATTTATGGGATACGGCGTGGTATCTTGATATATGTGTATAAGATATAATGATTAAATCAGGGTAATTACCAAATCGATCACCTCAAGCATTTATTATTTCTCTGTGTTAGGAACATTCACAGTTTTCTCTTCTAGCTATTTGAAAATGCACAATAAATCACGGTTGCCTATAACGACCCTATCGTGCAGTGGAACGCCAGAACTTATACCTCCTACCTCGCTGTAAGTTCGTGTCCATTAACCCTCTCCTGCCCGTGCGCCTCCCACTCCCCTTCTCAGCCTCCACTGACCACTCTTCTACTCTCGACTTCCGTGAGCCCAAGGTTTTTAGCTCCCACATATGAGTGAGAACATGCGATATTTTCTTTTTATGTCTGCCTGCTTCACTTGACATGATGTCCTAGCTCACCCACATTGCCACAAATGACAAGATTTCATTCTTTCATATGACGGCATAGCATTGCATTGTATACATACACCACGTTTGCCTTATCTGTTCATCCGATGATGGTCACTTAGGTTGATTCCGTGTCTTGGCTATTTGTGAATAGTGCTGCAGTAAACACAGGAGTGCAGCCATCTCTTCAAAATACTGATTTTCTTTCCTCTGGATGTATACACAGTAGCAGGATTACTGGATCATTCATATGGTCGTTCTATTTTTAGTTTTGTGGGGAGCCTCCATACTGTTTTCCATAAAGGCTGTACTGATACGCATTCCCACCAACAATGTGTGAGAGGCCCCCTTTCTCTGCATCCTCCCCAGCATTTATCATTTTTGGTCTTTTTAATAATAGTCTTTTTTAACCGAGGTGAGGTAATACCTCATTGTGGTTTTGATTTGCATTTCCCTGTTGCTTAGTGATAGTGCACATTTTATCATATATTTGCTGGTCACTTATATGTCTTCTTTTGAGGTCATTTGCCCATTTGTAATCAGATTGGGGTTTTTTTTTTGCTGCTGTTCGAGTTCCTTGTATATTTGAGATGTTAATCTCTTGTTGGATGAATAGTTTGCAAATACTTTTTCCCATTCAGCAGGTTGTCTCTTCTCTTTGTTGGCTGTTTCGTTTGCTGTGCAGAAGCTTTTCAGTTTGATTTAATCCCATTGATCTATTTTTACTTCTATGGCTGGTGATTTTGATGTCTTAGCCATAAAATCTTTGCCCAAACCAATGTCCTGAAGCTTTTCCCCTATGTTTTATTTCAGTAGTTTCATGGTTTTGTGTTTTACATTTAAATCTTTAATCCATCTTGCATTAATCTTTACATATGGCCTGGGATAGGGGTCTAGTTTTATTTCTCTACACATGAATAACCAGTTTTCCCAGCAATATTTTTTGAAAACACTGTTCTTTCCCCAATGAATTTTCTTGATGACCTTGTCAAGTCAGTTGACTGTAAATACATGGACTTATTTCTGGGTTCTCGATTCTGTTCCATTGGTCTACGTGCCTATTTTTATTCGAAAACCATGTTATTTTTGTTACTATTGCTATGTAGTATATTTTGAAGTCAGGTAGTGTGATACTGCCAGCTTCGTGTTTTTGTTTGTTTGTTTGTTTTGCTCAGGATTGCTTTGGCTATTTGAGGTCTTTTGCAGTTCCATAAGAATTTTAGAATTTTTTCTGTTTCTATGAAGAATATCATAGATATTTTGATAGGGATTGCATTGAATCTGTAGATTCCTTTGTAAAGTATGGCCATTTTAAGAATGTTAATTCATTCTTCCAATCCATAAACATGGAAGTCTTTCCATTCTTTTTTTTTTTTTTTTTTGGGGGAAGGGATCCTCTTCAATTTTTTTCGTTCTTTTTTCTACTTCTTCTTCTTCTTCTTCTTCAATTTCTTTC